AGGTCTACAGTTTTTACTCCATGACAAAGGGGTGTCCACCTCATGGTATCTATAAGAAGAGCCTCACTCAGTTTGTTGGGTGCAAGCTGTCATTCCAGGGCAGTGTTTGTTAACACTGGCAATTTTAAGATATGTGGCTTCCACTCCCAGAATTCCCCAACCAGCCTGCTGTAAGAGGGGTGGACTTCCACTCCCAGAATTCCTCAGCCAACCTGCTTTAAGAGGAGTGGGCTTCCACTCCCAGAATCCCCCAGCCAGCCTGCTTTAAGAGGAGTGGGCTTCCATTCCCAGAATCCCCCAGCCAGCCTGCTTTAAGAGGAGTGGGCTTCCACTCCCAGAATCCACAGCCAGCCTGCTTTAAGAGGGGTGGGCTTCCACTCCCAGAATCCCCCAGCCAGTCTGCTTTAAGAGGAGTGGGCTTCCACTCCCAGAATCCCCCAGCCAGCCTGCTGTAAGAGGGGTGGGCAGCCTGCTGTAAGAGGGGTGGGCTTCTACTCCCAGAATTCCCCAGCCAACCTGCTTTAAGAGGAGTGGGCTTCCATTCCCAGAATCCCCCAGCCAGCCTGCTTTAAGAGGAGTGGGCTTCCACTCCCAGAATCCCCCAGCCAGCCTGCTTTAAGAGGGGTGGGCTTCCACTCCCAGAATCCCCCAGCCAGTCTGCTTTAAGAGGAGTGGGCTTCCACTCCCAGAATCCCCCAGCCAGCCTGCTTTAAGAGGGGTGGGCTTCCAGAATCCACAGCCAGCCTGCTTTAAGAAGGGTGGGTTTCCACTCCCAGAATCCCCCAGCCAGCCATGGAAGTCCATATATCATAAAGTTGCCAAGATTGAGAATCATTGCTTGAACTACTGGCTACAGTAGAAATTAGAGACCATGAGCTTGTGCACATGTGTGTGTGTGTGTGTGTGTGTGTGTGTGTGTGGGTGTGGGTGTTTGTGTGTGGGTAGGTTTGTGTTTGTGTGTGTGTCCCACTGATTGGCACACTCCACCCCTTACAGTGTTTTCCCCTTCTGCACGTCTTCCGTGGGCTGCTCTGAATTTAACGCCATAAATAATTCTATCAGTTTAAAAAACAAGCAAACAAAAAAAACGTGTTACGAGATTTTCTTGCAGCCTTGCCCGGCTTTTAACTGCTGCTTCATTATGGAGATGAAAGAGGAATAAAAGAGAAGTAATTGGATGTAGCCAGGAAGACGTGGTGGTGTGCTGATGTGTTAAAAAAAAAAGATATTGCACAAGTTTTACACCTCTTTCCAAAACAAAGAACGTGCAGCCGAGTTTAACACGTGGAGTCTGGCCCAGATTTTGCTTCAGCACCAGCCCTGCAGATGTCTCCCCCTATGCACTGGGGGGGGGGGAGGAGGCAGCTGCCCTCCCCCAATGCTTGAGGGGCTGGTTGTGGGCCCTATTGACCCCTTGACCCCTGTTTGGCGTCCTGCTCAGTCGGTTCATTTAGCATCTTCACAAAAAGAGAATATTTATAGCTCAGTGTTGAATTATAAGTCTCAGAGCTTTGGGGGGGGGAGGACGAGGGGAGGAGGAGGAGGAGGAGGAGGAGGAGGAGGAGGAGGAGGAGGAGGAGGAGGAGGAGGAGAATTGTGGGGTCCTTGGTGCTCTTTGAGCTGGGTGGTTTTTCTTGCAGACATTTCATGACCCAACTAGGGAACATCATCAGCGCTAGAAGGGAGAGAGTTTGCAGAGAGGAGGAGGAGGAGGAGGAGGAGGAGGAGGGATGTAGGATCCTTGTTAGATAGCGCCCAGTGTTCAAGTCTGTCCAGATCCTTCTGTATCTGAAGCCTGTCTTCTGGAGTGTTGGCTATTCCTGCCAGCTTGGTGTCGTCTGCAAATTTGATGAGTTCCCCATCTATCCCTTCATCCAAATCGTTGATGAAGATGTTGAAGAGTACTGGGCCCAGAACAGAGCCTGGGGCACCCCACTACACACTTCCCTCCATATAGATGCAGTTCCATTGAGGACCACACGCTGAGTACGGCCGGTCAGCCAGCTACGGATCCATCTGGTGGTGATGCTGTCTACCCCGCATTTTTCTATCTTGTCAAATAGTAGGTTGTGGTCTACTTTGTGAGATGCCTTGCTGAAGTCCAAGTAAATTATATCCACAGCATTCCCCTGGTCCACTAATTTTGTCACTTGGTCAAAGAATGCAATAAGATTTGTCTGGCATGATCTATTTTTGACAAACCCGTGTTGGCTTTTAGTAATGGGGGTTGGACTAGATGACCTCCAAGGTCCCTTCCAACTTTATTATTATTATTATTATTATTATTATTATTATTATTAGGTGTTCGTTGATTCGTTGTTTGATTATCTTTTCCAGGATCTTCCCAGGTATTGAGGTCAGGCTGATAGGTCTGTAATTTCCTGGGTCCTTTTTTTTTCCCCTTTTTTGAAGATGGGAATTACATCAGCTCTTTTCCAGGCATTGTCTCAAAAGGAACTTTTATTGAGGGTTAGTGACAGCAGGGAAGTCAAGGCGAGATCTGGGGGAAATCCCACTTAAACGGTATAGTTAAACCAGCAATCTTCCTCCTCCTACCAAAATAGTAGTAGTAGTAGTAGTAGTAGTAGTAGTAGTAGTAGTAGTAGTAATTGTTGGAAGGGACCTTGGAAGTCATCTAGTCCAACCATTTGCTCAGGCAGGAAACCCTATACCTTTTCAGACAAATGGCTGTCCAGTCTCTTCTTAAAAACTTCCAGTGTGGAGCATTCACCGCTTCTGGAGAGCAGGTTATTATTATTATTATTATTATTATTATTATTATTATTATTAATAATAATAATAATAATAATAATAATAATAATAATGTTGGAAGGGACCTTGGAGGTCATCTAGTCCAACCCCCTGCTCAGGGAGGAAATCCTATAGCATTTCAGACAAGTGGATGTCCAGTCTCTTCTTAAAAACTTCCAGTGTTGGAAGGAGCATTCACAGCTTCTGGAGAGCAGGTTATTAATAATAATAATGTTGGAAGGGACCTTGGAGGTCATCTAGTCCAACCCCATGCTCAGGCAGGAGACCCTACACCATTTCAGACAAATGGCTGTCCAGTCTCTTCTTAAAACTTCCAGTGTTAGAGCATTCACAGCTTCTGGAGGCAGGTTGATAATAATAATAACAATAATAACAACAACAATAATGATGATGATGATGTTGGAAGGGACCTTGGAGGTCATCTAGTCCAACCCCCTACTCAGGCAGGAAACCCTACCACCATTTCAAGCAAATGGCTGTCCAGTCTCTTCCTAAAATCTTCCGGTGTTGGAGCATCCACCGCTTCTGGAGGCAGGTTGTTAATAATCATAATAATAAAGTCGGAAGGGACCTTGGAGGTCATCTAGTCTAGATTTTGTTAGTTTTTATAGGAATAAGGTGGAGTTGGGGTTGGAATTTGGGTTAGGGTTAGGATTAGGGTTGGGGTTGGGGTTTTTCCTAATAATGCTCTCAATATTTAGCAAACCGCATAATGTCTGGGTTCTGTGTTCAACAAAAAATAATAGGTAATAGTTAATGATCATAAACAATAGGTTAATTAATCACTCAATAGTCTCCTTCTTGCTTATATTCAAAATTACATATCACATTGCTTTCTCTCTAACTCTCAAGTGGAGGCAGGGGTGGGAGGGGAAAAACAGAAAACAGAAGTTATCCCAAGTGGAAGTAAATATTCCCCCCCCCACATATTCAGGGAAAACAATAAAGATTGGGGGGGCTGACAGGGAGGGAGCTTTGAGGGGGCCTAAGTCACGAAGGAGCCCTTGGCTTGCCACCCCCAGAAATTTTTGCTCTCCCCCAGCAGCTCTCAGGATCTTGGCCATCAGATATGCGGAGATCATGTCATGGAGCCAGTTCAGAAGCTGCCGCAGGAAACTTTTGATCCTCTGCCAAAAATGGAGCTCACAAGCTAGTTTTTTTTTTTTATAAAACAAGTTTTATTAATTTTCCAATTTTACATCCCAATCATTAGGAAGCAACATGGTGATTGGGTAGTCAAAAATCCAATAACAAAATCTTTTGTACACATCTCAGGTTACATCATCAAAATTTCCCTCCCTATTTCCCTTAATTACTATATCACAATCAAGTTAATACATTTCTAATTATACTGGAAGTTTTAAGTTTTTAAGAAGAGACTGGACAGCCATTTGTCTGAGCAGGGGGTTGGACTAGATGACCTCCAAGGTCCCTTCCAACATTATTATTATTATTATTATTAATTATTATTATTATTAATTATTGATCATCGCACAGTCAGCCAGATGTTCAGACTGGATTTGGCATTTTGTCTACCTATCGAGTCCTTAACCAGGACCTGGGATAGGCAGATGTGGATGTTTGATGGTATTACAGATCTCGTCGCAGGATGGAAGCAGTTCCTAGTAAGGCCGCCTTTTGCAATTGACTAATAGCGAATTTGTCAATGCCAGTGGTGTTCAAGTGGTGCTCCAGTTGTTTTGGGATTGCACCTAAGGAGCCTATCACTATTGGTACTACCCTTGCTTGCTTTTGCCACAGTCTTTCTATTTCTATTTGTAGGTCTTTGTATTTCGTTATCTTCTCCAGTTCTTTCTTGTATATTCTGCTGTTGTATTATTATTATTATTATTATTGTTGTTGTTGTTGTTGTTATAACACGATCAATTAAGACATTTATCAATATATTTTTACTTATACTTATCATGTCCTGTTTTTGAATTTTACCTAATTTCAATTACAGTGCTCCAATTTAGCCTTTAAGATCTATAATATTTATAGATCTTCGGGTAGCCCAAATTTACTCTATTACATTACATAGTAGTTATCATATCTAAAATGCACATATTGCTTAGTTAAATACATGCTTATCTTATTTCACAGATATATTTCACAAATATATTCTATTTCTCATCCTAGTACCTCATCAATTAACCAGTGGAACAACCTGCCTCCAGGAGCTGTGAATGCTCCAACACTGGAAGTTTTTAAGAAGAGACTGGACAGCCCTTTGTCTGAAATGGTGTAGGGGCTCCTGCCTGAGCAGGGGGTTGGACTAGATGACCTCCAAGGTCCCTTCCAACTTTACTATATTATTATTATTATTATTATTATTATCATCATCATCATCATCACTTACTAACACATAATATCCCTTATATCTCAAGCCAACTTCCATATTATAATTCAAAATATATTCTAATAGATCTTTGCTTGCCACCCCCAGAAAGCTTTGCTCTCCCCCAGCAGATATGCGGAGATCGTGTCATGGAGCCAGTTCAGATGGACCGTTGTGAAACGTTTTCTCCTCTGCCAAAAAGGGGAGGTCACAAGCTCGCTTTGAGGGGGCCCTGGAAGCGGCTAAGCCGAAAGGGGGTGAGGTCATGAGTGGGAGGCTCCCCCAGACTCAATTCGCACAGGATTTTTCCCACGACCGGTGCAAACTTGAACCCGTGGCCTGTGGAAGAGACAAGAGGGAGAAACTGAGGCATAATTCCCCTCTTCGCTTCCTTTCCCTCTCTTCCCCATTTGATTTACAGACAGTCCCTGACATGCAACCCATTCCTTTAGTGACCATTTTGTGTTGGAACGCCACTGGAAGAAAGCCACGTGACCGTTTTCCAACCAGAGGGTTGGTCTAGAAGACCTCCCAGGTCCCTTCCAACTCTATTATTATTATTGTTGTTGTTGTTGTTGCCGTCATCGTCATCATCATCATCACCGCCATTATTGTTGTTCTTATTATTGTTATTAGTATTATCACCATTACTATTATTATTGTTATTATTGTTATTATCATCACCACCATTATTATTATTGTTATTATCATCATCATCACCACCACCACCATTATTATTATTATTATTATTATTATTATCATTATCATTACTATCATTATTATGGATCATCGCACAGTCAGCCAGATGTTCAGACTAGATTTGGCATTTTGTCTACCTATCGAGTCCTTACCCAGGACCTGGGATAGGCAGATGTGGATGTTTGATGGTATTACAGATATCGTCGCAGGATGGAAGCAGTTCCTAGTAAGGCCGCCTTTTGCAATTGACTAATAGCGAATTTGTCAATGCCAATGGTGTTCAAGTGGTGCTCCAGTTGTTTTGGGATTGCACCCAAGGAGCCTATGACTATTGGTACTACCCTTGCTTGCTTTTGCCACAGTCTTTCTATTTCTATTTGTAGGTCTTTGTATTTTGTTATCTTCTCCAGTTCTTTCTCTTCTATTCTGCTATCTCCAGGCACTGCCACGTCCACTATCCAGACTTTTTTGTCTTTCTTATCGACAATTGTTAAGTCTGGGGTGTTATGTTGCAGGTGCTTGTCTGTTTGAATTCTGAAGTCCCAGAGCAGTTTAATTTTATCATTTTCTATGACTTTCTCTATTTTATGATCCCACCAGTTTTTGCTTACAGGCAAATGATATTTTTTGCAGATCTTCCAATGCACCATTGTTGCTACTTTGTCATGCCGCTGCTTGTAATCAGTCTGTGCAATCTTCTTGCAACAGCTTACCAAGTGGTCCACTGTTTCTTCAGCTTCTTTGCATAGGCGGCACTTACTGTCTGTTGCTGTCTTCTCAATTGTTATTATTATTGTTATTGTTATCATCACCACCACCATTATTATTGTTGTTAATATTATTGTTGTTATTATTATACCATTACTACTACTACTACTACTATTACTACTACTACTACTACTACTACTATTTACATGACAAATAGCTCCTGAACAATAGACTCCAGGATAAATGAGTCCATTTGGGGTGAGTGATCACCCCTCTACTCCATTTCTCTGGCCCTCCCACCCACCCCCAACTTACCTGAAAACCCGGCTCCAATGACAATGTTTTCAAAACGGGGGTGCCGGTCTAGAATAAAGTCTCCATCTGGAGTGTTCTGGAGGGGGGATGGGAAACGGGAGAAAAAAACAAAACAGGTTGTCAGAGGATTTGACAAGTTTAGATTTCCAAGGGGTGGGAGTCAGCTTCTGGGAGTCTGGGGGGGGGGACCCCTGGTACACCATAGATCAGGGGTGGGCAACTAGGCCCACTTTACGACCCGTGGACTACAAAGCCCAGAATTCTTGAGCCAGCCACATTTTGAGCTGGGTGAGCAAAGGGGGGGGGGGGTTGTATTAATGGAGGCAACAGGAGGAGGGGGGGGGCTCTTCTTTTCTAATGGCATCCCTAATCAATCAATCAGTCAGTCAGTCAATCAATCAATCTTTATTGCAGGCACAGACTAGCATAAGGACGGAAAGCGAGCAATAATTTTAAAAGCTACACAATGCAAAGTAATCCTCTATTGACGACCATGTTATATGCTATACATATGTTGTATATAGCGTGTTTTAAATGTGTGTTATGTATGTGTACACTTTGAGGGGAAGCAACTGAATTTCATTTTTAATGGGTGCCATTGTGCCCACAGGAAAAAAATGACAATGAGGTTATCTATCTGTCTGTCTGTCTGCCTATCTGCCTGCCTGCTTTTCTCTCTCTCTCTCTCTCTCTCATCTATCTATCTATCTTTATCTATTATCTATCTGTCTCTCTATTTCTATCTATCTATCTATCTATCTATTATTATCTCTCTCTATCTATCTATCTAATCTCTCTATCTATCTATCTCTATCTCTATTTATCATCTATATCTCTATCATCTATCTATCATTCTCTCTCTCTCTCTCTCTATCTCTATCTATTTATCTACATCTCTATCTATCATTCTCTCTCTCTGTTTCTCTATCTATCTATCTATCTATCTATATTATCTATCTATTCTCTCTCTCTCTCTCTTTCTCTCTCTCTTTTTATCTATCTCTGTTATCTCTCTCCCTATCTCTCTCCCTATCTATCTATCTATCTATCTATCTATCTATCTATCTATCTATCTATCTATCTAATCTCTCTCTATCTATCTATCTCTATCTATTTATCATCTATATCTCTATCATCTATCATCTATCTATCATTCTCTCTCTCTCTCTATCTCTATCTCTATTTATCTACATCTCTATCTATCATCTCTCTATCGTCTATCTATCATTCTCTCTCTGTTTATCTATCTATCTATCTATCTATCTATCTATCATCTATTCTCTCTCTCTCTCTCTTTCTCTCTCTCTTTCTCTATCTCTATTATCTATATATTATCTCTCTCCCTATCTATCTATCTATCTATCTATCTATCTATCTATCTATCTATCTATCATCTATATTATATATCTGTCTGTCTGTCTATCTTTGCTTGTTGGAAGGTTGCAAAATATGGTCACCTGAACCTGGGGACAATGCGACCATCATAAATATGAGTCAGTCGCCAAGCGTCTGAATTTGGATCACGTGACCACGGGGGTTGCTGCAACAGTCGTGTGAAAAACGGTCCTAAGTCGCTTTTTTTCAAGGCTGTTATAACTTGAAACGAAGGAATGAACGGCTGTCAGCTGAGAACTGCCTGTATGAGGTCAAAGTGGTCTGCTGATTATTGAAAAAGTTTTCCTTGTTTTCAAACTTTTCCCGCTAAACATCAGCAGCTCACGAGGTCTGTGCAGGCTTGGGGGTGGGGGTGGGGGCATCGGGGTAAAAGAGACCCCGGGGAGGGAGGTCCAGATTTAAGGGGGAGACAAGGGGCCATGGGGGTCGCTCCCTCCCAGTTCCCCCTCCCTCCTTACCGTGTATAAGCACCATTCTTGGACAGCAGGCTCCGGATCCAGGCCGGGCAGATACTTGCTGACGAAATCCTGCAGGTGCTGGAGGTCGGACACCGGAGCGGAGACCCCACCATGCTGGTCGGGGTTGTCGGGATCCACGGGGGAGCCGTGGTGGTAGCAGACCTGGCGGGAGATGGACAGACGGTCAAGGAATGGCCTTGGGGCTCTCTGAGCTTGGTTGTTTTCTTGCAGATGTTGCGTGACCTAACTAGGAAACATCATCAAGGCTGGATGGGAGGGCAGTGTGCAAAGAGGAGGAGGAGGAGGAGGAGGAGGAGGAGACTGTGGGCTCCTTATTGCCCTCTGAGCTTAGTTGTTTTCTTACAAACGTTTCATGACTCAACTAGGGAACATCATCAGTGCTGGACAGATGTGCAGTGTGGCAGAAGGAGGAGGAGGAGGAGGAGGAGGAGGAGGAAGGGACTGTGGAGTCCTTGGTGGTCTCTGAGCTGAGTGGTTTCCTTGAAGATGTTTCACTAACCCAACTAGGCAACATCATCAGTGCTAGGAGGAGGAAGAAGAAGAGGAAGAAGAAGAAGAAGAAGAAGAGGAAGAGGAAGAAGAAGAAGAAGAAGAAGAAGAAGAAGAAGAAGAAGAAGAAGAAGAAGAAGAAGAAGAAGAAGAAGAAGAAGAAGAAGAAGAAAGAGGAGGGGGGCTGTGGGGTCCTTGGTGCCCTCTGAGCTGGGCTGTTTTCTTGCAGACGTTTCATGACCCAACTAGGTAATATCATCAATGCTAAAAGGGAGGAAGGGAGGGAGGGAGGGAGGAGGAGGAGGAGGAGGAAGAAGAAGAAGAAGAAGAAGAAGAAGAAGAAGAAGAAGAAGAAGAAGAAGAAGAAGAAGAGAAAGAAGAAGAGAAGAAGAAGAAGAAGAAGAAGAAGAAGAAGAAGAGGAAGAGGAAGAGGAAGAAGAAGAGGAAGAGGAAGAGGAAGAAGAAGAAGAAGAAGAAGAAGAAGAAGAAGAAAAAGAAGAAGAAGAAGAGAAAGAAGAAAAGAAGAAGAGAAGAGAAAAAGAAGAAGAAGAAGAAGAGGAAGAGGAAGAAGAAGAGGAAGAAGAAGAAGAAGAAGAAGAAGAGAAGAAGAAGAAGAAGAAGAAGAAGAAGAAGAGGAAGAAGAAGAGAAAGAAGAGAAGAAGAAGAGAAGAGAAGAAGAAGAAGAAGAAGAAGAGGAAGAGAAAGAGGAAGAAAAAGAAGAAGAAGAAGAAGAAGAAAAAGAAGAAGAAGAAGAGAAAGAAGAAGAGAAGAAGAAGAGAAGAGAAGAAGAAGAAGAAGAAGAGGAAGAGGAAGAAGAAGAGGAAGAAGAAGAGAAGAAGAAGAAGAAGAAGAAGAAGAAGAAGAAGAGGAAGAGGAAGAAGAAGAAGAAGAAGAAGAAGAAGAAGAAGAAGAAGAAGAAGAAGAAGAAGAAGAACCACAACAACAACAACAACAACAACAACAACTGTGGAGTCCTTGATGCTCTCTGAGCTTGATTTTTTTGTCACAGACGTTTCATGACCCAGCTAGGTAACATCATCAATGCTAGACGGGAGTGCGCTGGGCGAAGAGGAGGAGGAGGGGGGGCAAAGGAGGACTCTGGGGTCCTGGATGGTCTCTGGAATAAGGCTTGAGTAAGTCGCTGGTGCTGATCTGTTGCGCCTGGCCTTTTCCCTCTGGCGGCCAAGATGCCGCCACCTGTCAGGTGCCGCTTGACCCCCAGGTGAAACCACCGGGCAGACCCCTCCCCAATTCCCCTCCTGCTCACCTTGATCAGATCCGGATACTCGCCAGTCCGCAAGCCGTAGAAGTGGTGGTCGTCTCGGTTGAGGCCGACGCCCAGGAAGCACGGAGGAAGCCCCGGGAGACCCCGGGGGCCGGGCACCTTCGCCCGCAGGTAGCAAACTCGGACACGCAGCGGCTGAAAGGGAGAAAGGGGGGCTCAGAAAGGGGGGGGAGTCACACCTCAGCATCCCCTTCACTGGCCCTCGGAGCGGGACACGGGTGCGGGACACGCCTGGCACCGCAGGGATCGACCTCGGCAAGGCCAACTCAACTCTGCCAGCTCGCTTGGCTGGCATTGGCTGCGTTGCAATCCTGCGATGGTCCTGCAAACTGGCACCGTTCGCTTAGTGACGGTTCAAAGTTACGACAGCGCCGTAAAAAATAAAAAGGGACTTGGGAGCGTTTTCCAGACTTACGACCGTCGCAGCCACGTGATCAAAATTTGGACACTTGGCAACTGATTCACGTGTATGACGGCTGCAATGTCCTGGGGGGTCACGTGATCCCCTTTTGCAACCGGATTCGCTTAATGACCGTGTTTCTAACTTAAGTGACTCACTTAACAACTGTGGCACGAAAGGTCCTAAAATGGGGCAAAACTCACTTAACGACTGACTCACAGAGCAGTGGTAAGGAGTATCCAACCTTGGGAAGTTTTAAGACGTGTGGACTTCAACTCCCAGAATTCCCCAGCTAGCATGGATACCCCTGGTATAAGCTCTCCTGCTGGAATAATGGAATAACAGAGCTGGAAGGGACCTTGGAGGTCATCTAGTCCAACCCCCTGCTCAGGCAGGAAACCCTATCCCATTTCAGACAAAGGGCTGTCCGGTCTCTTCTTTAAAACTTCCAGTGTTGGAGCATCCACAACCTCTGGAGGCAAGGAGTTCCACTGGTTAATTGTCCTCACTGTCAGGAAGTTTCTCCTTAATTCTAGGTTGCTTGCTTCCTTCCTTCCTTCCTTCCTTCCTTCCTTCCTTCCTTCCTTCCTTCCTTCCTTCCTTCCTTCCTCCTTCCTTCCTCCCTCCCTCCCTCCCTCCTTCCCTCCCTCCTATAGAATAATAGAATAACAGACATGGAAGGGGACCTTGGAGGTCATCTAGTCCAACCCCCTGCTCAGGCAGAAGACCCCGTACCATTCCAGACAAGTGGCTGTCCAGTCTCTTCTTAAAACTCCAGTGTTGAGCATGGGGTTGGACTAGAATAGGGCTTTTCAACCTTTTCACCCATTGTGCCAATTTTAGGATACGGCAACATCCGAGGACCACCAGTTGCCTAGCAAGGTGTCAAAAACCTGATGACCCCCCCCCCAAAAAAGGAAAAAAGTGATAAAGAGCAGGTAGTCCTCGACTTACAACAGTTCACTTAGTGACTGTTCGAAGTGACAATGGCCATGAAAAAAGTGCCCCCCAAGCCACAGCCGAGCAAGACACCTGCCTGCCCACCTGGCCGCGCTCTTCCTCCTGTCCGAGGTTTTCATGGTTGTGAGCATTTCTGTTGAGGATTGGCAGCGGGGATGGAGTGGGGGGTGTTTGGTTTTTATTCCCCCCGTCTGCTGGGTGGTTGCAGCAGGTTTTGGTCCCTTCACATGACCCCGGGATACTGTGACCGTCATAAATATGAATCGGTTGCCAAGCATCTGAATATAAATCACAAGACTCTGGAGATGCTGCAACATTCCAGCTGATCGGTGCTGCTTCTGGGCTCAGCAGAAAAGTCAGGATCAGTGCTGCTTTCCGGCTGATTGGTGCTTCTTTAGGGCTCAGCAGAAGCACCAGGATCAGCGCAGAGCTCCAGCTGGAGCCTGGCACTGATCCTGGCGCTGATCCTGGCGCTTCTGCTGAGCCCTGACAGCCCTGCAGCTCCAGCCGTCTCTCGCTCAGGCTTGTGCGGTGCTGCCACCGGTTCAGCTCATTCCCCTCCCCTGCTATCCCTTTTCTAGGATGTTCGCGTGCCACCTGCCAGGGGCCAATGGACCACAGGTGGTACCCGTACCACTGATTGAAAAGCCCTGGACTAGATGACCTCCAAAGTCCCTTACCAACTCTTTTATTCTGTAATTGTAAAAACACCGTCGGCTGACCATTCGCTTTTCAGTCTGGAGCATCTCCCCCCCCCCTGCATATTTTTCATAAGTCATAAATCACTTTTTTTCATTGCCATTGTAACTTGGAACGGCTGCTAAATGAACCATTTGTTAAGTCGAGGACTCCCTGTATTTTTATTTTTTTTACCGACATTGGAAACAATGACATCGGACTAGTCCTCGCAGTTACGAGTATCCCCACGCTTGTGTGATCAAAATTCACACCCTTAGCAACTGACTTGTATTTACGACGGGGGCAGTGATTCCCCCTTTGGCGACCGTCCGACCCGCCAAGTCGATGGGGAAAGCTGGATTCACTTAACGACCGGGTGACTAACTTAGTCCGCACAGGCGTTCATTTAGTGACGGTGGTGAGGAAGGTTGTAAAGCGGAGCAAAACCCACTTAACGACTATCTCGCTTTGCCATGAAATTTGGGGCGCTGATACTCCTTAAGGGATGCCTTGCGCCCCAATTATTGCCTGACCCCCCCATCTTCTTTGGGGGGGCGTCCCCTACTTACCTGAAGAGGCAGCTGCAGCCCCAACGGAGCCAGGAGCTGATTGGTCCATGCACCGGCTGTGACCACTAGGCGTTTGGCCCGGTACTTCCCTCGGTCGGTTTTCACTGTGACCACTGACCCCGGCAGGATTTGTAGCACCTTCTCTCCGTCCCTCAAGACCCCTTCGTGCCTCTGAAAGAGGTCCTGGGGGGGGACACAAAAAGAGATCAGTCACCCCCCCCCCAGTTTTCGCTTGCGCCCAGCGGCGGCCACTACACCCCCGGTGGACATTTGCACGCTCTACGGCTCAGGTGAGGAATCGGTGCTTAATGCACGGGGCAGTGCAGCGGGGTGCAGCTTTCCTGGGGGGGGGGAATACCCCTGCCCCCGAAGACCAGGCTGGGGAGTGGAATCCGGACAGGGCCTGAGTTCGAATGTCGGAGGTGTGCCGGTCAGTGTTGCTCGTGCAAGGAGGCCGGTGGAGAAGGGGAGGTGCAAAAGGCAGAAATGGAATCAAAGCCATCCTGAAAGAGCATCCCTTCTCTGCCTTGGAGACTTTTCTTTCTTTCTTTCTTTCTTTCTTTCTTTCTTTCTTTCTTTCTTTCTTTCTTTCTTTCTCTCTTTCTCTCTCTCTTTTTCTTTCATTTTATTTCCTTCCTTCCTTCATCTATCTATCTATCTATCCATCCATCTATCTATCTATCTATCTATCTATCTATCTATCTATCTATCTATCATCTATCTATCTACATACCCACCCACCCACCCACCCACCACCTACCTACCTACCTACCTACCTACCTACCTACCTACCTACCTACCTATCTATCTATCTACATACCCACCCACCCACCTACATCTATCTATCTATCTATCTATCTATCTATCTATCTATCTATCTATCTATCTATCTATCTATCTATCTACATACCCACCCACCCACCCACCCACCCACCTACATCTATCTATCTATCTATCTATCTATCTATCTATCTATCTATCTATCTATCTATCTATCTATCTATCTATCTATCCATCCATCCATCCATCCATCCATCCATCCATCCATCCATCTCCCCTTCATTATTTTAGTATCCATATCTGCAGTGCCAGGGTCCTAAGTGTGACCCATAGACAAGGGGGCTCTTTTGTCCAAAGAGTTCACTAGGGAAGAAGAAAAAGGGGGGCATTTCCCTTCACCTGCCCCCCCCAAACACCCACAGTTGCTACCTGCACAGCTCGGAGTGCCTTGCTGGCATACAAGACGCCTGCTGTGGGGTCCGTCATGGCCATCTCCTCGCCGTACGGGTGGATCCCTGGGAACCGCTCAGCCAACTGCTGGGGACTCAAGAGGTTGCTGGGCAAACAGTGGCGCTCCATGGTCTGCCTGTAGCTTTGGAATTCGGGGTTCTCTGGGTGCCCCACCACCAGGGCGAGGTTTGGCCTGCGGCAGAGGGGGTGTGTGATTGTGGCAGGCCCCCGTTTTGGTGCCCCTGGGCAGCAGGATGGGGCAGACGGGCCCCGGGGCAGAGGGGCTGCAGAAGGACGATCAGAGCTGGAAGGGACCTTGGAGGTCTTCTAGTCCAGCCCCCTGCTGGAGCAGCAGACCCTATACCACGCGTGCCTGGCTGAGGACTTCTGGGAGTTGAAGTCCACCAGTCATCAAAGGGCCAAGTTGGAAGACCCCTGGACTTCAACTCCCAGAATTCCTCAGCTAGGCACTTTGGCTGAGGAATTCTGGGAGTTGAAGTCCACAAGGCATGAAAGGGTCAAGTTGGAAGACCCCTGGACTTCAACTCCCAGAATTCCTCAGCTAGGCACGCTGGCTGAGGAATTCTGGGAGTTGAAGTCCACAAGGCATGAAAGGGCCAAGTTGGAAGACCCCTGGACTTCAACTCCCAGAATTCCTCAGCTAGGCACGTTGGCTGAGGAATTCTGGGAGTTGAAGTCCACAAGGCATCAAAGGGCCAAGTTGGAAGACCCCTGCCCTATACAGATGTTGAGACTTTGGAGGGAAAGTGCAGAGAAGAGCAACCAAGATGATCAAAGTCCTGGAGACTGAAACCAGAGGAAGAACGGCTGCAGGATTTGGGAATGGCCAGTCTAGAGAAAAGAAGGACTAGGGGGGACGTGATAGCCGTATTTCAGTATTTGAGGGGCTTCCACAAGGAGGAGGGGGTCAAGCCCCCACCCCAGCCAGAACAGGAAGGCCAACTGAATGCTTTGGGACAAAGCCTTTGCCTAACCAGACGGATGGCTGCCTGCCTCTGGATAAACCTGCCGGATGGAAAAATCATTAAGATGGCCATTTCCTTAATGGCTTTTAGGGAATTGCAATGGAGGGACAAATCAGAATGGGAATAGAGCTGGAAGGGACCTTGGAGATCTTCTAGTCCAGCCCCCAGCCCCAGCCCCTGCTCAAGCAGGAGACCCTGGCCTAGACCATTCCAGATGAGTGGCTGTCCAGTCTCTTCAAAACCTCTAAGACAGCGGTTCTCAGTCTGTGGGTCGGGACCCCATTTGGGGTCGAACGACCATTTCACGGGGGTCGCCAAACAACGCAGTCCGCCATTTTCCCCCCCTTTTCCTCAGCTGTGCTGCTCCCTTTTATTCTATTGGCTTTTGAAAGCCAATAGAATAGACTCTCTTGGATAGAGTCTAATTCTATTGGCTTTCAAAAGCCAATAGGAATTGTCCAGGCTGTCTCTGCCCTGCTGAGCCCGCCAGAAGTCCCATTCTGCAAATGGTGCTGCACCAGTTGAGTAGTCCTCGACTTACGACCGGTTGAGTAGTCCTCGACTTACGACCGGTTGGGGATCACAGCATTAAAAAGGTTGAGAACCACTGCTCTAAGAGAGGGGGGGTACACAAGGAAAGTAAAGGGAGATCAACAACTTTGGCAATGCTAGAAGAGAGGGTGGATTCTGGGGGGGGGGGAAGGAAGAGGAAGAGGAGGAGAACTGTGGGGTCCTGGGTGCTCTCTGAGCTGGGTGGATTTTTGGAGACGTTTTATGACCCAACTAGGTAACATCATCAGTGCTAGAAGGGAGGAGGAAGAGGAGGAGGAGGAGGAGGAGGAGGAGGAAGAGGGGAATGACTATGGAGTCCTTGGTGCTCTCTGAGCAGAGTAGTTTCCTTGCAGACGTTTTATGACCCAACTAGGGAACATCATCAGGGATAGAAGGGACGAGGAGGAAGACTGTGGGGTCCTTGGTGCTCTCTGAGCTTGGTGGCTTCCTTGCAGACAGAAACCACCCAACTAACCCACAAGCAAAGCTGATCTAGAGAAACATCCTGGCACGCTTCGTTCATGCTTGCAACATGACACCAACCCATGTCAGAGATCACGGGGTGGTGGTGGGAGGTTCTGGTGACTTGCATAACCAGGTCAGGGGGAGGCCACGTAGCTGCCTTTGGCACCCGGTCCAGAGTTCAGTTACACTTTGTGCATTTGGCAAGGCTGTGTCTGTGTGTGTGTGTCTTTGTGTGTGTGTGTGTATGTGTGCTGCCCCCACCTGCTTGCTTAGCCACAGCTCTGTGCATTGGGTGACTCCTCCCCACCTCGAGTCCCTGAATTCACCCATTCTCTCTCTCTCTCTCTCTCTCTCACACACACACACACACACACACCCATCCTTTGGTGGGAGACAATGGCCCCTTCACAGGAACTGGCACCAGTTTCTTGTTATTGCCTTGACCCTTAATGCTCTAGCAGTTTGGGTTGTGCTTCATCCATCCTTTTAGTATATGATTGACAGCTGTACAGAATCGGCTGAATTCTAAATAAATAAATAAATAAAGTTTTGGGCATACAGTCTTTCTGTGTGTGTATGTGTGTGTGTGTGTGCGCGCGGGGGGGCTAGTACACAACACATGCCAGGTTTGTTTTAAAGGCCCAAAGAGTATCCTAACGAAGAGGCAAGCCTTTGCTTGTGGATCCCTAGTTGGGTCATGAAACATCTTTTAAGAAAAGCACCAAACTCAGAGAGCATCGAGGACCTATTATTATTAATTATTATTATTATGGATCATCGCACAGTCAGCCAGATGTTCAGACTGGATTTGGCGTTTTTGTCTACCTATCGAGTCCTTACCCAGGACCTGAGATAGGCAGATGTGGATGTTTGATGGTATTACAGGTATCGTCGCAGGATGGAAGCAGTTCCTAGTAAGGCCGCCTTTTGCAATTGACTAATAGCGAATTTGTCAATGCCAATGGTGTTCAAGTGGTGCTCCAGTTGTTTTGGGATTGCACCCAAGGAGCCTATGACTATTGGTACTACCCTTGCTGGCTTTTGCCACAGTCTTTCTATTTCTATTTGTAGATCTTTGTATTTTGTTATCTTCTCCAGTTCTTTCTCTTCTATTCTGTTGTCTCCAGGCACTGCCACGTCCACTATCCAGACTTTTTTGTCTTTCTTATCGACAATTGTTAAGTCTGGGGTGTTATGTTGCAGGTGCTTGTCTGTTTGAATTCTGAAGTCCCAGAGCAGTTTAATTTTATCATTTTCTATGACTTTCTCTATTTTATGATCCCACCAGTTTGTGCTTACAGGCAAATTATATTTTTTGCAGATCTTCCAATGCACCATTGTTGCTACTTTGTCATGCCGCTGCTTGTAGTCAGTCTGTGCAATCTTCTTGCAACAGCTTACCAGGTGGTCCACTGTTTCTTCAGCTTCTTTGCATAGGCGACACTTACTGTCTGTTGCTGTCTTCTCAATTTTGACTTTATATGCATTTGTCCTTAAGGCTTGGTCTTGTGCAGCCAGAATTAGTCCCTCGGTCTCCTTCTTCAATTTTCCTGCTCTTAGCCATTGCCAGGTCTTGTTATTATCTGTTTTCCCAGCTATTTTTTTTAATGTATTGGCCATGTAGTGCTTTGTCTTCCCATGCCTCTATTCTGTTCTTCATTTGGTCTTTCTTGTAGGCCCGTTTGGTCTCTCCAGTAGTTAGTAAGCCTTCCTGATATACTAATTTCAGTGCATCTTCATCATTGTTCTTCAGATATTCTTCCAAAGCCATTTTTTCTTCTTCAACCATCTGATGTACTTGTAGCATTCCACGCCCACCTTTTTGCCTTGGTAGATAAAGTCTATCAATGTCACTGCGTGGATGAAGGGCGTGATTCATTGTCATTATTTTTCTGGTCTGCCTATCCATTGCTTTTAGTTCTGCTTGAGTCCAGTCCACTATTCCAGCTGTGTACCTAATAACTGGGATTGCCCAGGGGTTGATTGCCTTTATGGTATTTCCTCCATTGAGTTTGGATTTTAAGATCTTCTTCACTCTCTTCATGTATTCACCTCTAATCTTTTTCTTGACTTCAGTGTGCTTGATGTTGTCAGCTTGAAGATACCCAAGTATTTGTAGTACTCTTCCTCATCCAGACTCTTAATGTTATTTTCGTGGGGCATCTTGATTCCTTCAGTTTTCACTATTTTTCCTTGTTTGATAGTAAGTGTGTCACATTTGTCCAAGCCAAACTCCATTACAATATCTTGGCTATATATACGGACAGTGTTGAGCAGTGATTCTATTTCAGATGATGTTTTTCCATACAGCTTCAGATCATCCATGTAAAGGAGATGGGATAGTCTGGTAGATGTTTTTGATGTTTGATAGCCATGTCCTGAGTTATTCAGTATTGTTGATAGAGGAAACGGTGCAATAACAAATAGTAATGGTGACAGTGAATCTCCTTGAAATATTTCTCTCTTATTATTATTATTATGGATCATCGCACAGTCAGCCAGATGTTCAGACTGGATTTGGCATTTTGTCTACCTATCGAGTCCTTACCCATGACCTGATTATTATTATTATTATTATTATTAGTAGTAGTAGTAGTAGTAGTATTAGTATTATTAGTATTCTATTAGTAGTAGTATTAGTGTTATATTATTAGTAGTATTAGCAGTATTAGTAGTAGTATTAGTAGTGGTATTAGTATTCTTATATTATTATTATTATTATAGTAGTATCAGTATTATATTATTATTATCATGATCATAATCATTATCATTATCATCATCATTATTATTATTATTCCTCCTTCTCCTACACTCCACAAACCCCATACCCTTCTAGCCCTGATGATGTTCCCTAGTTGGCTCATGAAACGTCTGCAAGGAAACCACCCAGCGCAGAGACCACCAAGGACCCCTTATTTCAACCCTGAGTTACAAAGATTCTCCTTTATTGATTGAAAGCTGCCGTTCTCCAAGAGAGAGCTCTCTGGGCATGTGCAGACGGCTGATCTCATCTCCCCCTCCCCCCCTCCAAGCTCTGCCTATTGGAAAGCAAGTCCAGAAGCCCCTTGGCCCCCTTTATTGGCTTGGAAACCTCTCCGGGGCTCAGTTGGGTGCCTTCAGCGTAGCTCGAGATGGGCGTGGTCCGGCGCAGCGAAGCGCAGACCCGGAGGCTCCCTAGAGGTCATCCAGCCTCACCCGCTCCCCAGCCTCCGCCGGGAGACTCACCTGCCGCCCCTCCTCACCTGTGCAGCTGAGCGCCGGCCTCCGCCTCCAGCTGAGCCCAGAGCCGCTTGGCTTCGGCCATGAGGGCCAGGTAGATGTCCTGCGGGTAGGCGCTGCGGCTGATCCGGCTTTGGCCGTGGGAGCTTCCGCGGGTGTGGGGCAGCGGGAACTGCGGGGGCGAGGAGCGGAGGTCGTCTCCGGACACTTTCCGGGAGGGAGGCTGCAGGAGGCTGCCCTCCCGCCCCGTAGCCCCCCTCCCCCGGCTTGCCCACCCAGGCTCCAGCCCCCTCCCCCCTCCCGGGCTCGGCCCGGCCAGCGCTGCAGGCAGGAGTCCGTCCGGGCAGGGGCGCCGCTACCTGGTCCAGCAGGAGGGTCTTCAGCCGGCGGCGGGCCAGCTGGTAGGCAGCGCAGGAGCCCTGGATCCCGGCGCCCAGCACCAGGGCGTCGAAGGGCCGGCCGTCCCCCCCGGCAGCCATGGCTCCTCCGCCGCTCTCCTCCCCGGGACGGGGGCGGGGGGGGCGAGGCAAAGTCCAGCGGGCTTGGACCCCGGCCCAGGTCCTCCCCCGCTTGGCCGGAGGGGCACCGTCGGGTGAATCGCGAGGGCCGAAGCAAGACAACGAAGGATCCTGGCTCAGCTGAAAGTGGGGTGGGGGTTTTTTGGGGGGGGTGGGGGTTTTTTGGGGTGGGGGCGTCGGGACTTCTTCCCCGGTTCTTCCTCAAACTCAGCAGCAGCTCAGCAGCCTCAGGGAGAGAAGAAGCAAAAGGGAACTCGGGGCGGGGGGGGAGGGGGGGAGAAACTTTCTAAGAGTGAGAACCGTTTTTGCCTCCAGACGTTGTGGATGCTTCAACTTCTGGAGGCTTTAAAGAAGAGACTGGACAATCCCTTGTCTGGAATGGGATAGGATAGGGTCTCCGGCTTGAGCAGGGGGCTGGACTGGATGACCTCGGAGGTCCCCTTCCAACTCTAGGATTCAAGGATTCAAGGAGGGAGGGAGGGAGGAAAGGAATGGGAGGGAGGGAGGAATGGAGGGGCTAGAGGAAGGGAGGGAGGAAGGGGCTGGGAGGGAGGGAGGAAGAAAGGAAGGAAGGAAGGAAGGAAGGAAGGAAGGAAGGAAGGAAGGAAGGAAGGAAGGAAGGGGATGGGAGGCAGGGAGGAAGGAAAGGAAGGAAGGAAGGGGCTGGGAGGGAGGGAGGAAGCAAGGAAGAATAGCTTTGGAGAATAGCTTGACTCCTTCTTCTTTGGGGCAGCCCCTGAGATACTGGAACACTGTTATCATGTTCTCCCCTTGTCCTTCTCTTCATCAAACTAGACATGCCCAATTCTAGCAACCGTTCTTTGTATGTTTTAGCCTCCAGTCCCCTAATCATCTTTGTTGCTCTTTATTTACTGGACATATTTTTAAATATTTTCTGAAGAATTAACCAGTGGAACAGCTTGCCTCCAGATGTTGTGGGTGCCCCATCCCTGGAGGTTTTAAAGAAGAGATTGGATAACAGGGGTTTCTGGTATAGGGTTTCCTGCCTGAGCAGGGGGTTGGACTAGAAGACCTCCAAGGTCCCGGGGGGGGGGGGTTCATGCCACCTTCTGACTTTTCAAGTCTACGGGGGGGGGGGAAGCAGATTCACTTATCAACTGCGTGATAACTTAATAACTGTGGTCTTTTGCTTAAGGACAACACGGTTTGGTTAACAACCAGGGTGGATCTGCTTAACCAGCATTGTCCCCCCCCTTTTTTTTGCCACGGTGGTTAAGCCAGTCACCGCCGTTTTGAAGCGAACCGTGTGGTCCTTAAGCAGATCGGGCTTCCCTGGTTGACTTTGCTTGTGGGAACGGGCTGGAAAGTGAGGTGGGGATCCCCTCACCCTGGGGTGCTACAGCTGGACACAAGCCAGGTGCCCAGCACCCCAATCGGGGTCCCTTGTCAGTGCGAGAACGGCTCAAAAGCCCCTCTTTCCAGTTTTTTTTTCCCCTCTCTCTTTCTCTAATGAGCCAAACTCCAATTTGAGTTAACGCACAACACACACACACACACACACACACACACACACACAGAGAGAGAGAGAGAGAGAGAGAGAAAGAGAGAGAGAGAGACTGGCATAAAAGAGCAGGTGGTTCCCAGGCCAATTCTGCAAGCCCCTTCCCACGCAGGAGCCTAATCCTGCTTCAGGGTTTGCGTTCTCTCTGGCTGCCTGGGCGTGTGTGTGTGTGTGTGTGTGTGTGTGTGTGTGTGTGTGTGTGTGTGAATTCATTCCAGGGGTCTTTGGGGGCGGCTTTCACCGTGTGTGTTGAACGTGGCAGAGCCGTGGCCTCAGCAAACGGTGCCCACCTGTTCACAATCCTCCGGTTATATTTGTGGCCTGGCTGTTTTTCATTTCTCCTCCTTCGCCTTCTCCTCCTCCCTTCCTCCTCCTCCCCTTCCCCCCTTCCCTTCCTCCTCCTCCTCCTCTTCCCCTCCTCCACCCTTTCTCCTCCCTTCCCTTCCCCTCTTCCTCTTCTTCTCCTCCTTCTCTTCTTTCTCCTCCTCCCCATTTCCCCTTCTCCTCTTCCCCTTCCCCTTCCCCCTCTTGCTCCCCTCCCCTTCCCCCCTCCCCTTGCCCTTCTCCCCCTCCTCCTTTCTCCTCCCTTCCCCTCTTCTCCTCCTTCTCTTCCTCCCCTTTTCCCCTACTCCTCCTCCCCTTCCCTTTCTCCTCCTCCTCTTCCTCCTCTTCCCCCTTCCCTTCCCTTCCTCTTCTTCTTCTTCTCCTCCTCCATCTCTTCTTTCTCCTCCTCCCCATTTCCCCTTCTCCTCTTCCTCCTTCCCCTTCCCCTTCCCCCTCTTCCTCCCCTCCCCTTCCCCCCTCCCCTTGCCCTCCTCCCCTTGCCCTCCTTCACCTCCTCCCTTTCTCCTCCCTTCCCCTCTTCTCCTCCTTCTCTTTCTCTTCCTCCCCTTTTCCCCTACTCCTCCTCCCCTTCCCTTTCTCCTCCTCCTCTTCCTCCTCCTCCCCTTCCCCTCCTCTTCCTCTTCCTTCTTTCTCCTCCTCCCCATTTCCCCTTCTCCTCTTCCTCCTCCCCATTTCCCCTTCTCTTCCTCCTCCCCATTTCCCCTTCTCCTCTTCCTCCTCCTCATTTCCCCTTCTCCTCTTCCTCCTTCCCCTTCCCCCCTCCCCTTGCCCTCCTCCACCTCCTCCCTTTCTCCTCCCTTCCCCTCTTCTCTTTCTCTTCCTCCCCTTTTCCCCTACTACTCCTCCCCTTCCCTTTCTCCTCCTCCTCTTCCTCCTCCTCCCCCTTCCCTTCCCCACCTCCTCCCTTCCCCTCCTCTTCTCTTCTTTCTCCTCCTCCCCTTCCCCTTCTCTCCTCTTCCTCTTCCTCTCCCTCCAACGTCCCCTTCTTCTCCTCTTCCTCCCATTCTTCCTCCTCCCCTTCCCCTCCTCTTCTCCTCCTCCCCTTCCCCCTCCTGCCCCTCCTCTCTCATGCCTAGAAGGGGGGGGCAGGGGGCCAATTACCACTCTAGGCAATACACTTAACACCAACCGACAGTCATTCATAGCCCCCTCCCTTTGATGAAGGTTCTTTTTTCCCTCCCATCAAATAATCCAGACTTCCCATTTCTCAAAATAATCAGGAAAGCCTCAACCCACAACCCTTTTCACGCCATTGAAGCATGCGGGGGAGGGAACCTGGGGAGCCCTTTGGACCCCCTTTTTTTTGCATGGGAAACTCCGGATCACTGAGAGAGGCTTCCGCAATCTCCGTCGGCAGTCCATCGGGGGAAGGCTCTGGATTTTGGGTCAACACTTTGCTCGAAAGCACTAAAGTGGAGATCAGGACATTTTATTGAGATGTTTTGTTTATTTTCTAGAATTAAAGCCAAGCTGTGCTCTCAGAGGAACAAGGAGAAAAACCTGGGTTTAATTCTAGCCAATAAGCTTCAATGATGTCCCATCCTCCAGTTCTGTACCCTACAACATCAGCTGGGAGGGGCCTTACCTGCCTTCAGCCCAGATCCAGTTGGGAGTAGTGATTATATTATCTCTCTCCACCCCTCTATCTATCTATCTATCTATCTATCTATCTATCTATCTATCTATCTATCTATCTATCTATCCCTCTCTCTCTCCTATCTGTCATCCATCCCTTTATCTTTTTACATCTCCCTCCCTCCCTCCCTCTCTTCTACCTATCTACCTACCTACCTACCTACCTGTCTGTCTGTCTGTCTAGCTATCTCTATCTATCTGTCTATCTATCTATCTATCTATCTATCTATCTATCTATCTATCTATCTATCTATCTATCTATCTCTGTATGTATCTCTATCTCTATCTATCTCTATCTCATCTCTCCATAGCTATCTATCTATCTATCTATCTATCTATCTATCTATCTATCTATCTATCATTCTGTCTATTTCTGTATGTATCTCTATCTATCTCTCTATATCTATCTCTATCTCTATCTCATCTCTCTATTATCTATCTATCTATCTATCTATCTATCTATCTATCATCTATCTATCTATCTATCTATCCTTATTCATCTATCTATTATTCATCTATCTATTCTTATTCATCTATCTATTATTCATCTACTGTATCTATCTCTATATAATGTCATTGTGTGGAAAATAGGAAGAAGGATTGGGTATGTTTGCCTGAGTTACTTATAAAAATGATAAAGGTGGTATATAGATATATTCAGAACTTTTTGTGGCTGACAAAGAGTTAGTGGGAGACTAGTATAGGTATTTCAAGTTCTTTAGCTCTCATCAGCTAGTCATACCCCCTCTGGGATTCGAACCTGGGAAGCTTGCTTGTTAATACAACTACCTAACATGCAAGCTTGAAATAGCTATACTAGTCTCCCACTAACTCTTTGTCAGCCACAAATATTTTTTTTTGAATTTACAGTGTTCACACTACGTGAGGTCTGCCTGCAAAACATGCTCCTAGATTGGAGCGAAATGCAGAACAGACTGATTTATCCTATACTTGGTAGACCGGGTGCTCTAGCCAGCACACACACACACACACACTCACACACACAGAGACACACACAGAGAGAGAGATGGATGGATGATAGCTAATACAGATAGATAGATGATAGATTGATTGATAACTAGAGATAGCTAGATGATAGACAACAACAACAACAATAATAGTTGGAAGGGACCTTGGAGGTCATCTAGTCCAACCCCTGCTTAGACAGGAAACCCTACACCATTTCAGACAAACGGCTGTCCAGTCTCTTCTTAAAAACTTCCAGTGTTGGAGCATTTACTGCTTCTGGAGGCAAGCTGTTCCACTGATTAATTGTTCTCACTGTCAGGAAGTTTCTCCTTAGTTCTAGGTTGCTTCTCTCCTTGATGTGTTTCCATCCGCTGCTTCTTGTCCTGCCTTCAGACAGAATGATGGATAGACAGAGAGAGAGACAGGTATAGAAACGAACTTCCTTCCATGCCTGGCTCATAGTCTCCTGTCTCCGGGTCCCATACAATAGCCACAACCCCACACCGACCCACATCT